CATGCAGCCATCCTGAAGAAGGTCGGATTTGTACATTGCTGTCATGTTTAATTGGGAGTTTCACATGATTTTAGTATACAGATGGTACACGGGGGTAGATAGATGGGTGACTCCCCCAAACGTATCTAGGTTAGGGGTGTGCAATATATATCGTCTGCGATAATATCGTAATTGTTGTTTTAACGATGTGCGATTTGACATTAGTCCTTAAGGTACCAGCACAATAACACACTCAGCAAAATATCGTCTAATTATCGTCATCGATAAAATCCCAGAAAATATCGAGAGATAATTTTTTGTCAATATCGCACACCCCTACTCTAGGTCTGATTTTACCCCAAGATGATAATAAATTATACTTTGCATATGGGTCATTCCGTGTCAACTCAACCGGAGAGCTCAAATTTTCAAAATATTAAATGTCGTGGATGAATATTTATGGAGTAGTTCACTGTTTTGTAGAGGGTGGTCAAAATGACAATTTTCACCTGAGATTCAGAGCGAAGTCACAGGGGTTAAAAATGACTTCAGAAAGATGGCAGCATCTTATTTTTACAGAGAGATTAGAAGGTCTATTAATAAAATCTGTTTGATTTTAGCAATCTTTGTTGCGTTATATATCAATGGTGACCGTTCACCATTTGACAGACGAGCTACAGTTCTAGTTCCAGCATGATTTATTCTTCAGACATTGTTCTTTAAATACAGTAAGTATCAGGTGTATACAAAGTGGCCCACATTTTGTTTTTGACCACTGAGAATGTGTCCATTTACTCTCGGAGCCATATTTAGATCCCAGTATCTCTGGAACTGAACCATATAGGGCCTTAAAAATTAAGATGCCAAAAGGAAACCTTGTTAAAACCCAACATCTAAAAGGGCATTAAGATATCTTTAATACATCTTGAGTTACAGGCATGCAAACTTTGGAGAAAAAAACTTGAAGTGAAGTGCTTTTCTCCATTTTTGAGTAGTCACCATTGACATATTAACACGAATTGCTAAAGTCAAGAGATTATACTAATAGGCCAACCAATCTTTGCGTGTAAATAACATTATGATCCTGCCATTTTTACCCCCCTGTAATTTGGCTCCGAATCTCAGGTGAAAATTGTCATTTTGACCGTCCTCGACAAACTAGTGGATTATTTAGCTTCCATTGTCCTCATTTGTAAGTCGCTTTGGATAAAAGATAAAAGCGTCTTCTAAATGTAATGTAAATGCACTTAAGTAGTTTTAAATCACATTAAAATGCGAATGCAGGAATCGTTAAGCAGAATCAAAATCAAAATGCACGCGTCTTATCGAATACCCGGTTCTTGGAAATTTGGAACCGGTTCTAAAATGGAACCGGTTTTCGATACCCAACCCTACCGCCAACACAGTCTATCGCAGCAAGCCTACTGTTTATGAATATTCAGCAATGTGGTTTCTATATCAAAGTTCATAATAACATTATTTTCATGCCAGTTCTCATTACTGTAATGTGACTGGGTTTTGTTCCTCGTTGCTCATTTTTCTCAGCTATGCAAAATAATTTATTTAGTGTGCATATTGGTTGTGTTTTAAAATAAATATGAAATGTGTCCGTCTTGGAAGGGACTGAGCCTTACAGTGAGTTTAATATGCCCACAGGTGATTCAGTGGTGCACCCACCATAAAGACGACCCTCCTCCCCCTGAAGACGATGAGAATAAAGAGAAAAGAACGGATGACATCCCCGTGTGGGACCAGGAGTTCCTCAAAGTAGACCAGGGCACCCTCTTCGAACTCATTCTGGTTTGTAAAACTGCTTGTGCTTTGACTGGCAGCGTTCGTTAAAACGGTGCTGTATGCTACAGAACTGAGTCGCAGATCTGATTTCATGCAGGGAAAACAAAGCAAAGTGCATCCTTTTGGATTTTAGGATCAACTGAGTGCTTGAAATTGTAGGATAAACAAATGTGGCGCCCTGCATTTAATGACGCAAAACCAGTTGAGAAGCTAAAAGAAATAAAAGAGAGTGCCTTCTGGTTCTTGAGAAATACCAGAACCCACGGTTGAACATTTAGAAAAGTTCTCACAATTAGTGATGCACCAAAATTACAACTTTGGGTCAAAATGGAAACCAAAAATTCAGGATGCACCTGAAAATACCGTATTGACCCGAATATAAGATGATGTTTTTTTCTTGGAAATGCATCTGAAAAAACGCGGTCGTAATGACCTGAAAAACTGAAAATAAATTTCATAGTCAATTAATCAAATATATTTAACGGTCATTTAACAATAACAATAACAGTAAGCATTGTCATTTTATCAGTAGTAATTACTATGTATGGATCACTTTAGTAGAGTGAGAGTATGTGCTTTGGCTCTGTTCAAAAGCCAAAAAAATGTTCAAAAATGTTTAATATTTTGATATCAGTAAAAAGAGTATAAATAATATTTATTTCGAACATGTAAAATAAATACAATACAAACGAATAAACAAAACAATACAACACAATACAAAACTGTTTTAAATTATACATGTCCGATAGTAATTTTTACATTACAACTGTAAAAATTGTTTGTCTCAGTTTCTTCATTTTAAAGCTAAACCGTTAGGGATGCTCCGATCAGGATTTTTGCAGCCAATACTGAGTACCGATTTTTTGTCATGGTGATCGGCCGATCCCGATGCTTCAAGCTTTATATAACTAATACGTAAGCGCTCTGATCATCATTAACCTTTTTTCAGATGAAGTAATACTACAGATGTTGCCTTTATGTAATGCAAGTATTGTTTTAAGGGTACTAATCACAAAAATTATTAATTATACAGTGAACATTTTAATATGCCTTTAACCCTCGCCAGGAGGTTAAAAAGGGGTTTATGCATAACGCTAAGCATATCAGAATACTTATATAAGACAAAAATAAATACAAACAAAATGGAGCAGTGTGATGCAACCCACCACAAGGTTTATTTAAACATTATCCAATAGTAAACTGTGGAGGACAAAATAAACATTTAATCTTCTAAAATTGAGAAGTCTGTAACTTAAACATTGTCATACAAGTCTGAGGAGAACACGATTAATAAAAAAGGAAAAAAACAGACATTTACACTCCTAAAAGAACAAATTGGAGTAGTTTGATGCAACTCATAAGGTTTAATTTAACATTGTCCAATATTAGACAGAGGACAAAATAAATAGAAACATTTAAACTGCAACATGGAGATGTCTGATGTAACTCATAAGGTTTAATTAAACACTGTCCAATATAAGACTGAAGAGGAAAAAAAGAAATGGAAAGATTTAAACTACTGAAAGAACAAAACGGAGTAGTTTGATCACGGTTATATCCACGGGTCGTGTAGTAAAAAAAATGCATTCTGAATCTAATTATTTGTGGGTGGGTCGCGGGTGGATAAAATAAATCATAGATGATGCAAATATTAACTACATTTTTTTAAATACATTTTTTCATCAGGCAGACGATTTTATTTGCGTGTATGTGTGTTCGCCTGATTGGGAAGTTGCCGTGACAGAAACGGTGACATTCCAGATAAAGTTTGAAAGGAGTAAAGCCTGTGTTAATTAGTGCTGGGCGGTATACCGGTTCATACCGAATACCGGTTTTTATTTTTGTTACGATACGAATTTTGAAAATACCGCAATACCGGTATATGTCGCTTAAACAACATTCGGAACGCTACACTGTTTGAAAGGGGTGTTGCACTGTGGTGAGGGAACAGCTGTATGTGTTACTAAAGCCCTATTCACAGGGGATTAGTATTACGGGGTGACCTCCAATCATTTGTAATAATTGCGGAGGTTGTCTGTAATCTTAATCCCGTGCGAATCGGCCATGTCTGTAATTTGTAAAGTATAAATATGAGCGTAGTTCGTCTGTTAATATGACATGCACTTTTTTTGGTTTGTTGTTTTTTTTAGTTTGTTTCTCAGACGCAGGCAGTGCACTGCATGAGACAAAAAAGTAATATAGCCAAAACAACTGCATAGCCGCTCTTTAGTGTTGATGTTATGCTGATTTTATCAGACGATGCCGCGATTATAAATGAGAGTGACTCCTGGTTAACATGTATTAAAAGGGGTCGTGTTTAGTCACTATTTAGTGTGGTATTTTTTGACAATATTCACTCATCATGACAGTAAAACAGGGCATTCTAAGTCAATATACTGCAGTATTTCCTCTCTCAATCAGTAGAAAATATGGTTAACACCCGGTCATGCATGGAAAAAAAAAATACCGTCTTGTACCGTGAAACCGGTATAATTTTGAAAAATACCGTGATATACATTTTTGGTCATACCGCCCAGCACTAGTGTTAATGCTATTGAGTAGGCTAATATGGCCAAAGAAGATCTTTTGTTTTATAAATAAATGTTCATTTAAAATGTTATGTTACCGTTACCCCTTACGGCTCCGATGAGGTTTTGTTCCGTCCTCCACATGGTGCCAACTCACAAAAGACTGTTTTTAGCCAAGCAGCGCGGAGAGCCGCTTCAGAAACGTGCCGCAGCTGGCCGGTGTAAACACAAGCATTGACTAGAGCGGCCGCGATCAGCTCCGGTTCCCGTGGAGCCGTAATGCGCCGCAGACGCATGCAGAGATGCACAGATCAGCTCTAACGTCACTGAATCTGCTGTTAAAATGAATCATCCATTCATCATATCATCATGCAAAACTAAGAATGTGACGATCGGGTGTGGTTATCTAAATCAGAGAAAAATATAGGCGGGGGGATAATTTATTTGT